TTAATTCGATTTTTAAAAGCACACCTAACAAGCTGAATTCCAGGTTCTAATTCTACACAACACTGATTTTTATGTTGATGACTTAAACAGTGGAAATTACACTCCTTACACAATGAATGCATTTTGAATACTGAAGAGGTTTAGACAATGTCTTTACTTTTATCAATCCAACTATTATGTGATTTGTCGAATCCTAACCACTTGACTAGAATTTTATTTCCTTTCTTTTCAACACTTGCTCTACAAGATAGATTTCAGGTTGTTTAGTTTTCTGTAATTCTTCTTCGTAAAATCCACCGCTGATGGGATTACCTTGATAACCTTCTAAGAGGTACGTTACAGGGTTTGTGATTTTTACTTTAGATACTTTGAAAAGCTCAGTGGTCCAATTTGGCGTATATCCTTTTTCAAAAAGATGTTTCTGTTTTGAGATTCTAACGGTATCGCCAACTTTAAATTTTGATTTTCCCGCTACCTTAATATGACTATAAACGCCACCTAGTAGTTTCTCTTCACTATTACTATCCACATTCTTCGGTTTCATTCCAATGGTTCTGTGTTTCGTATCGTTATAGTCTTCTGTAACTTTATTTAGTAATTCCAGCCATCTATGGTTCCCATTCAACGTAAACGATCTAAACAATTTTTCCTTAATAGTGCGAATTACACGTTCAGCTATAGAGGCTTTCAAAGGACTAAAAGTACTGTAGTGTTGGATCTTGTATTTTTTCATCAAATTTTGAAACTGACTGTTGTAATACTCTTTGCCATTATCCGACACCAACTTTTTAGGAATTCTGTTTGAAGATTTCAATATGATTTCCATGGCCTTAGTAATGTCTGGTGCAGATTTTGATTTTACAGGTTTTGTCCATAGATATTTGGAAAAACAATCAATCACAACCAAGATATATTTATAGCCCTTATTCTCTCGAGAATATTGATCTAATTGAGCAAGATCGGTGGCAAAAGTATCGTCTAAACCATACTGAATAAATCTTCGTCTTTTGAATTTAATACGAGCGGGTTTATGAAGTTCCCTAACGACTTGTTCTCTAGAACCCATCGCTTTGTCTAACGAAATAGTGCTGGTATATGTGTATTTATATTTTATTTTGGGTTAGAATTTTTTTTACTTAATAATAAATCTTCAAGGACACCTTTTACATCACCCAAATCGTTTGATAAATCGTCTATTTTCTGGTTTGTTATTGTCTTAAACGAATCAAGCACTCTCTGATATTGTGCTGCTATATCCGTATCAATGTTCTGTATATCATGCTCAATGTTTGATAGTTTAGAATTGATACTATCCAGTTCTAGACGTTTAACCTTATTGGATTTTTCAATCACCGTATCTGTATAATTCTTTATCGCACTTTCCAGCATATCAAGATCTATATGCAGTTTCTTGACTATCTCATCCTCTAAAGTTCCAAATTTCTTATCCATATCCGTTAGACGTGTTGAAATTTTTGAAAACGTCTCCTGTAAGTCTATCTCTAACGCTTCTAATCTTTCGGCAAGAACACTGTTAAATGCGTTTATTGTTTCCATAGAACGAGCTTGAAATTTTATCTCTTCGCGGACTTTCCCTGCTAGCTCATCAGTATATCGTTTAGTCGATACATCGCTCTCTTCTGTAGGGTCTTCAACATTAGTTATTTTTCGATTTTCAAAATCATAATCTCCTTCAGGTGTGTGGGAAAATTCAGGTTGAGGGTGTACTAACCTTCGCTTGGAAGATAAAGACCATCCGAACTTGTTCATGGTTGAAATAATAATGCTCAAATATCTAGTATAACACTTTATTTATAGGTTCAACTACACCTAGTTCTAACAATTCTTCAAGAATACTCATTATTTCATTCGTATGGTTTCCGTTTCCTGCTGTTTGAGAGGCATCCAGTTTACTTAATCTATCCACCAACTCGTTGACGTCATCATAATAAATATATTCTTTAGGTTTTTCATTATACTCAAGTAGTGCGGATCCAGATTTAGTTTGCGATCTGGTTTTAGGGATTTTCTGTGCTATATTGCTGGCTGATGAATGCCTAAGTCTTGAACCTTCAAGCGAAGCCGAAGATGCAGCTGTAATCAATGGTTTAACGAAATCCCTATATTTCACAGATTTACTACCTCTCAATTGTCCCAATGGACTAAAATCTCTTTTGTGAACGTTGGTTTGCTTCAATATTTTCTGAAATTGAACTCTATCGTTTTCAGTAAAGTGCATAGGTTTCTTTAGAAATAACAATTCATATAAACCACGATTTCCTTTGTAAATAGAATCGCCTACTCGTATATCACCATTTTGAAGAAAATCCACTTTTTCCGTCCCCATTTTCCAAGTTTCAGTTGGTGCATTATGTTGTAAACCATACGTATGATCTATTTCATCGGAATCTATAAAGTACTTATCGATAAATTCATGTGCTATTTTTGGATACTGATCCAAGTAGCTCTTGTACACTTCAGTTTGTTCTAGAATTGATTTTTGAAGATCTTCGTTAGCATCTTTAAATGCTTGTAGTGATTGTACTTCCATAAAAACATTATCATCATCATCATTATCACTGTTTCCAGACTTCTCCGCAATCATTTCAGTCGGCTGGAATTCAACATACTTTTGAGAACTGCGTTCAGGTTTCGGCTGTTTCTTTATCGATGATGGTGGTGTTATCTTTTCCATCTTTACAATTTCCTCTTCCTTGTCTTTATTGTTCTGTCTGCGAGTTTATTTAAGGGTATAGTTATAGGTCCCAATATTCTATTTAGAGTTTCATCTCCCTCATCACGTTCTAATTTCAAGGCTAGATGTTTTTTTCGTATATGTCTAGCAGCATTTATAATCTTTCTCTGAACTTCTCGCTCATCTTTTGTTAATATTTTAGGCATTTCGAACCCGATCTGTTTCAATCAGGGCCGTTCCAATCAGGTCCGTTCAATCAGGTCCGTTCAATCAGGTCTGTTACAATCGGGTCTGTTTCAATCAGGTCTGTTACAATCGGGTCTGTTTCAATCAGGTCTGTTTCAATCAGGTCTGTTCCAATCGGGTCTGTTTCAATCAGGTCTGTTTCAATCAGGTCTGTTACAATCGGATCGTTTGATACTAGGTGTATCCTCGATCAAGGACTCTTACATACTAACCATTAAACTATGTTTATGGTATTATATAGGTATTAAATCTGCTTCGGTAACGACCTTTGTGAATATCACAGTCTTTAACAGGATATGGATTATTTCTTCAGAAGCAATTGCCAAAAAACTACCAATAAAGCTACCCAATCGACCTTTGTCTAACCTAGATATACAGAAATATGTAAAGAAATTAAAAATTGTCAACTTCAGAGGAGTATTTATGCGAAATACTCTACCACAAACACCTAGAACGAACGAGTGCGGTGTTGTAAATTTGGACGAGATTGAAGGAGATGGAACTCATTGGGTAGCATAGAAAAACGAAGGATAAAGTTGTGTATTTTGATAGTTTTGGAAATTTAAACCCACCAAAAGAAATTGTTCGATATTTCAAGAAATGTAAAATATATTATAATTACGACCAGTATCAAACATATAATACTTACAATTGTGGTCATCTTGCATTGTCCTTTCTCTATAATAATAAATAGTTATAAAAGAACATGTGTTTTAATTTCACGCTCAGTCGTAACCAGACATTCACACTGAAAGGTCGTTCGCTGTTTTTAAGCGTGGACATTAATCCTCCGGCCAGAACTCGATTCTAGATACAGTTATTCTCTGGCTCTGATATCTCTCGGTACCTGGAATTCAATACCGAATATCGAACCAGGTCGAAATAAGTTTCATTATTCTGTAGACAGTATAAGCAAATAATTGAAATTTCAACAGGATCTTACGAGATTACCGACATTGAAGAGTATTTGCAAAAAAGAGCTTTAAGTTCTAAAGAGTAAAACCGTTATAAAGTACACCCTAATAATAATACACTAAAGTGTGAAATAAAGTGTATCTACGATATAGATTTTCAACCTGAAGATAGTATTGGAAAAATATTAGGATTTTCACCGCAAGTTTTAGCTGCCAACAAATTGCACAAATCAGATATACCTGCGGAAATTTTTCCTGTGGTAACAATACGTACCGAGTGCAATATCATATCTGGATCGTATTACATTAATAATCCATCTCATACACTGTACGAGTTTAGTCCAAGCGTAGATCCTGGCTATAGTATAATTATCGAACCCAGGAATCTAATCTATCTCCCAGTAAATAGAAATTTTATTGATAACATTACATTGGATATATTAGATCAGGAATCAAGACCCGTCAACTTTAGAGGTGAAGACATTGTTATACGTTTGGAGCTTAAAAAGAATGGGTTTAACTTTTAAACCTTACTATTTAAATACCAGCTCACAGAGCAATCAATCAGTTAGTACTTGTACACCACAGCAGACGCTCACGTCCAAGAGCATACTTCAGCTTCACCATATTATCAGTAAATATGGACTCCGTATCAGAAAAACTACAAATATTCCAACCGGTCAACGTAGATGAATCCATTGCTCGAGAAGAATGGCATACGTATCACCCATTCACCAAATCATTTAAGAACAGCGATGAGATAGAAATTGTTATTAATCAGCAGGATGTGTTTATGGATATTAGCCAGGCTGAATTATACATTGAGGCGAAATTTTTGGAAGAAGTATCGACAGTTGTGAAAACAGGAAAATGTTCCCTGACAAATAACGTTGGAGCATTTCTATTTGAATCGATAACGTATGAATTGAATGGAAAAGTAATCGATAAAGTACGAGATTCAGGGCTTATAAGTACCGTTAAAAGTCTTGTGTCTCAATCAAAATGAAAGTACTGCCCTTGATGTGGCGGGATGGAATTGGCCTGGCGGTGCTGTGAAATCATATGAGCCAGAAACAGATAATTTCAGTCTCCTAATACCATTGAATTTCCTATTGAACGTCTTCTCCGATTATACTAGCGCTATTATGGGAACGCAGAAATTAAAGCTTGTACGTGCCAAAAAGGATGATAATTGTTATGTTAATTCAGAGGGAAACAAGAAAGCAGACATCACCATTTTGAATATCGAGTTAAGAGTAAAACATATCTATCCGAACGATTCTGTGAAATTAAAATTGTTTGAAGCAATTTCCAAGGACAAACCGATATTTATTGGATTTAGGAAATGGGAAATTCATGAACTACCTGCTCTACGACAAGCGAGAAAAGATGTATGGACAGTGAAGGCAGCATCTGAACGAGCGAGATATGTTGTTGTATTCTTCCAAGAAGATCGAAAAGATAACTATAAAGCTGATGGCACATATTTCGATAATTTGAAAATTACAGATGTCAAGCTTTATCTAAATTCCGAGGCCTACCCATATGAATCCCTAGATTTAAATTTCAAAACCAGACAGTTTACTAAAGCCTATTCCATGTATACGGATTTTCAAAAATCGTATTTGGGAAAGATCAATAGCGAACCTTTGCTAGATTTTACCGCTTTTGCCAGTCGAGCCCTATTTGTAATTGATTGTTCAAAACAAAACGAGGCTCTGAAAAGTAATGTGATAGATGTAAAGCTAGAATTTGAGAGTTCGGAAAATTTCCCCGAAAACACCCGAGCATTTTGTATCATCATATACGATCGAGTCATGGAATATTTACCTTTATCAGGACATGTTAGAACGCTAATTTAATCAGTTGCTGCAAGACATTGATACGATGAAGTTCGTTGTTATAGACGTACAAGGATTTCCCATCCCCGAATTTGAGGTTAAGGAATTATCCATATACGATGGAAAAGAAATGAAAACCTATACGTTTAAACCGAAGATTTGTTACAACCATCTGCCGATACACCATAAGAAGACGATAAATTATATATTTCACAATGTTCATGGAATCCCTTATAATTCAGGGTATTTACCCTATAAGGCGATGTATAACATAATACAGGAGGAATTGGAAGGTGTCGATATGGTTTTCGTTAAAGGATCTATTAAAAAGGAATTTCTGCTGTGCACATACAACGAAATGAATCTTGATCCACCCTGTATAGTGAACTTGGAATTTACTTCTGGACCTGTGCCGAAATTAGAACAATCATACAGTAATAATTATGAGTATCACTTAAGATTAAAATATATTCTTGTACTGTAAATAATGCTCATGTATTATATGATTATATTATAAACCTGTTAACTCAATAAATTTAAATCTATTAATATCCTGTTTTTTTACTTATTAGCTCATAGATTAATATTAGCTCATTTTACTGTAAACCATTGTCTTGTTCACATCGCTCTCATCATCAAATCATTATGGATAAATCAAGTGTATTAGAACCAATAATTAATGTAGCATTAAACATTTCCGAGAACTTGACAGAAAAGCAAATTGTTTTCCAAAGTACAAACAAGAAGAAGAAGAAGATTCAAATGTCATATGAAGGTTTTTCAACGTTTCTGGACTTTGTTGATGAAAACGTTAATAGTGGTTGGTGTGATAAATCTATAGAAATTGATGGGCATTTAAACATAACTCATGCTTTTGAAGAAGAAGTGAAAGTGCTGATAATTCAAGATAGGAAATGGAAAACTTATATTGATTGGGAAGATGATTGTATATTGTTATTTAAATATTGTTTACCTATTTTTTATAATTTACTAGATGAGAGAAATGTGGAAAATAAATACACAGTGAAATGAAAAAAATTGTTTTATTTAGAATACTCTAAATATTTTTTTTTATAAAATTAGTCTTGTACAATATAAAAGATTGAAAATGTTTTTCAGTACTGTTAAATACAGGTGTAAAAATAAATATATAATAAAAATAATTATTTGTGTTAGGAAAACTTACTAAATTTGAATGCAGCTATTGAAAAGCTTAAATCAAACAGTAGACATAGTAGAAAACGTTTAAATTTGTATACAATATAAATATGTTAAATATAGTAAGCTAAAATATATTCAATATAATACTCTAAATAGAATACACTAAAAATACAAAAATAAAATTAACCCATCCTCTTAAACATGAAAGTAACTAAATCTTAATAAATAAATAAATAAAAAAATAAATAAAATATCGAAGGAAATAGAAGTAAAAAATAGCTGCCATTGGTTTCAGCCTATAGATTTTCCGATATTTCATCCCTATATTTTCCTAGATCTTTATGGCCCCATGCGAGCGTGTACTCGGAATTGGGAATAAGAAATCTCTTATCGTCCGCGTAGGATAAGACTATCTTATTTTTTAGCTCTACATACATATTGTGTAAATGTGAACGGAAAGTGTTCATCGAGCGATAGATTTTCGTACCTGCTACATCGACCGTGTTTTTATAATCATCCAAACTAATATCTTGTTTGGTGATGTAGTCAGTACGCCTTTGGCCTTTTCGTTAACTCACCATCCACATTTACACAATATGCTTTAACCAATTCATAAAAACTCCCACAAAATTTTTTCCTGCATATTCTCCTTCATACGGCCCAACACAGACGAATTTACAGGAATATCGTGTGGATTGTTTTGCGAGTAATTTGACGTATCGAATCTATCCAAATTTTCGCGCATGTCATCATAAAAATTGTCGGTTTGAATTTGTAAAATTAGAGAATCGGTGTCAGTGTAGAGCAGTGAGGCTTTATTACCGTACTTTGGTTTAATATAACTATACAAAAAATCATACATAATAGTTTTGGAAATTTCCAAAATTGAAAAACCTACGTAAATAGGTTTATTATATACGATTTTCTGTTTAGCCATATGTATTGCGACTAAATTCTCGCTAAAAATCGTCAAGTCTTTAAAATGCGGTTTGGAAATGTACGCTTCTGCCCCTAGCTTTCTACCAATATTTTCCCAGTGGGTAACTAACTTAATATTTACCCGTTTCTCCACGTTCTCCATTGTCTTTCCAAATACAGCGTTATTCATAAGTTTGAAAAAATCTTTTTCAAACTTATTTTCAGCGTTATTACGCTTTGCTGTATTTAGATCAATGTAGGTTTTCAACCAGGGAGATTGATTAAATGATAAAATGCGATGAATTTTGGCAAGTTTCAGACCATGGTTCAACGCTTGTTGTAAATTTTGATAATGAATTACATATCTAACTTTAGAATTAAAATTGGGGATTAATTTTGAAACTTTAGATCCCTCTGGTTGAACGGACTCTGGGCAAAAGGGTAATTCGTTGTGTAAATCATGTAAATGCTCCGGATACTCTAAATCGACTTCAAAAACATAACCTATATTAGAATTTTTATCGATATTCATAAAATTTAAGTTTGAAATTTCTTCTTCTGTTAGCCACGTAAAGTTACCTGTTGGTAGATATTGCGACATGGCTGCACCATATAAATTGGTAGCATCCAAGTACATAATGTAGGAAGTAGGTTTGGAAGCGTCGTATATAGACATAAATTTGTTATTCGCGATAGCTTTTCTAACACTACATTGACTGACACCGCCGCGAATCCCGTGTTTAAAGAAATGTATCATGTCTAGATCTGTCAATAATTTCAGCTCGATAGATGTAGTTTTTAAAGCCGCGTCAAAGGACAGAGATGGTGCGGTGAAGTATTGACAAGGATCTAGACCGTATGTTTGTAGACACACCTCTCTAAAATTCTCAAAAACATCAGTTAATAATAGTACGTCGGATTTTAAATATATATCTGAATATTCGCTAAAGTTTGACATTTAAATAAATTCCATACGTTCAATGCACGCTCGTAATCTCCTTGTTTGATGGCTTCTTTTCTAAGTTCGTTATAGAAGCCATCAATGGGTGGAAGCTTGGTATCGTCTAATTTGGAAAAGGAATCTACGTATGAATATGGGAAAACACCCTTCATACGAATAACCTTAAATTCTTCTTCGTTAGGGAAATACTTCCTAACTTCGCGACACTGTTGAGACGTTAAATTTTGACTTAGTTTATCTAGACTTGATGCCATGAATCGAAAACTGTCCAAAAATCTTAATTTTAAAAATATCTTTTGTTGTCGCTTTTCCTGATCGTTGTCATCCCCCACCATAATATATTTTGTAAAAGAAATATATCTTTCTTTGTTTTGGGGGATGACGTCCAATCGTTCTTCCTCCACAGCCAATTCTTTTATAAAAAGATGGCTGTCAAAATTTGACATGTTATGGAAGAACACAGGAATAAAATTAGGTACTTTAAAATTTAGGTTACAAACAGAGTGAGCCGCACCTCGATATTTTCCTGTTAGATGACAGTGGTCCCTTACTCTTTCATCTTCTACATTAAATGGTCTTTCGCAAATATGACAGTGTGTCATCTGATAAAACTCGGCTTCTTGTACGCTACTGAGAGGAGACATGGATACAATATTTTTCATAAATCGATTGTAGATTGATTTACAATCAGTCTCTAACCAATCTATGAAAACTTTATGTGCATCAGGTCCCCTAAAAGTCTTGAAAATCGACTGAGAATTATCAAAATCGCATTTAATGTAATAGGCAAAAGAATAAGGAACGTGTTGGTGTGTTTTCACCGTATAGGAAATTTCAGGATCCAACTCGTTTTGCTCTGTTTGTATAGGTTCCAAAATAGTTTCAAAATCAGCGTATACAACAAAAGGTACTTTTAATTTTCGTTCGAAATTCGTAAATTTAAGGATATTCTCGGGAATATTTTCACCATATTTATTTTTCTTTAAATTATCCGAAGGAGTTTCAACTACAACGTGACCACAATCGTATTTTTGATGATTTTCTAATTTAATATCTGAAGAAAAATAAACCAAGCAACCATCGCATAAGAATTTTGAATGTTGTTTGCCTGAAAGTTGTTTGGAGATTAGGCGAGACATATTTCTTATTAAACAGTAATGATTATTGCCAGAATCATCACTGATTAATAACAAATTCACACGTCTATCTGTCTTATGAGATCTAGTAAAATACAAAGGACCCACAACTTCAATAATATTCCTATCATGTTTATAACCCTTCTCGAGTCCATAAACATTAATAGAAATATTATTGAGTTGTTCGAATTTTGACACCTGTTTCAAAGATATCGGAAAATCTATACCTGTCACATCCAATTCCTGCTCAAATGGATGATAATTCTGGACTCGGTTGGCGTTCTGAGTTCGGGGAACTGGGTGAAGGGCGGCTAAAACCGACCATACAAAACTTTCTGGTCAGTGTTTTGTATGTTCAACACAGCCCTTTTCGCTTCTATTTCCTTCGGTAATGGTATATAAGATGAGGCTTTTAGTGGGTTGATTTTATTTACCCTTACATCTACGTGAAGGAGTTGCTGAAGAGTCCAACCTAATGTACACGAAAAAATAATTAGTATGGTGAAATCAGAAAAAATTATATACTTACCACTATCTTTTTCATTGAACTCCTGGAATCTCCGCTTAATGATAGTGGTGAACTGATCAAACAACTCCTCCAAATCGGTGCCCTGACTTGCTCCCCTGAACCTAGAGCCAAAGGACTTGGTCTCCTCTACCTCCTTTGTCTGCAGGAGGAAACGACCGAAAAGCTCCATACCGACTTTCACATTGCCAAATCTTTCGATTTGGCACCTTACCAACGCAATAATTTTTTCGCGGAGATTAGCTAAAAAATCATTAACGCTGATAGGATCTTTTTTCGATAAAAGTCGGTATGTAGCAATTCGGTTTTTGTAAGAGGT